TGAGGGGGGATCTAGTGGCCTGTTACAAACTAGTCAGGGGGGACCAGCAGGCACTGGGGGAGTCCCTGTTCCCCTGAGCACTACCAGGAGTGACCGGGAATAACGGTCACAAGCTGGCAGAGGGTAGATTTAGGCTAGATATCAGGAGGCGCTACTTCACTGTCAGGGCGGCTAGGGTCTGGAACCAACTTGCAAGAGAAGTGATGCTGGCTCCTCCCCTGGGGGTCTTTAAGAGGAGGCTGGATGAACACCTTGCTGGGGTCGTTTGACCCCAGTACTCTTTCCTGCCATGGCAGGGGGCTGGACTTGATGATCTGCTCAGGTCCCTTCTGACCCTAGAAACTATGAAACTAATGTCCCTCTGTTGTTTTCTTAATGGAGTGATAAACACCGTTCATCAAGTCCCTGCTGGGCTAATCCGAGCTCCTGCTGGAGTCTGACCATGCCCTCCTCAGCTCCATGCTGTGGAAGGAAGGGATTGCTGCTCCAGCATGCCCCGGCTTCTAGCCTGAGCCACTGCGGGCACATGTCTGCATTTCTGGGATATCTGTCCAGTTACAAAACTGATTTAGTCTAGCCAGGTTAGGCTCACCTGCAGAGATTTAATCAATTCAGGCTCAGGCTTTTTGAATGTCTGTCCCTAGCCCAAGTGTGTACCAAGAGTTTCTATGTATAACTGCACAAAGAACATTATCTCTTTTCCCTAAAAGAAAAATCTTACTAGAAATTGCAAGGCAAAAGAAAAGAGAGAGAGAAAGAAAAGGATGATATAGTGCTTGGGAGGAAGGTAGCAAAGAAAGTTAGTCCAAAACAAAAATTAGAAAAGGCCCTAGGAGTAACCTAGAGTTAAGAAAAGAGACTAGAGTCTTAGGACACAGAAAGCTTTTTTGGGAGGAAAAAAGTTTTCAACTTTAGCCTTGAGGAACAGCAGTTAATGTGTTTAAGACTGGCCACCAAACAGAGGCAGTACAGCAAGAAAAGGAAGTTGTCATGGGAGAGAAATCCAGCACTAAACCTCTATACTAGTCTGAGTCAAGTTGCAGCAATCAGTGCAGAGGGCACCTGGAATGTGCGAGTGTTACGGTTTTTCCACATACAAGAAAAAACTAGCTAAGGGACTCCACAGAAGAGAGAGAAACCAGTGACTCACCTACCACCCTTCATCTCAACTGAAAGCAACAGAGCCGCTTTTTATATTTCAGTGAGTACTTCTCCCTGTTGCTGTGTACACTCCACTACTTCCCAAAGTTCAGGGCACAGCGTAACTGATTTCAAATGCAGGTTTACAACATTTAGATTTATCGTTTGTAAGAGAAAACGTTTTGTACCTGGTGCCTTGGAAGCAGATGACCCCCCATGAGCCAGGAAGTCAACGCAGGAATCTTCACGGCAGACCACGGAGTTGGGGCAGAATTTAACATCTGTGAGACAGAGATCGACAGGACAATGAAAGGTGTGGGAAGGAGAAAGAAAATATTTCAGAACAATAGAGGGGGAGGGAGAGAAGGAGCTAACTGAAGTTATCTTCTACCTGGGTTTGGTTAAAGTAGATAGAATTAGTTTTAGTTTACAAGTCATTTAGCCTTTAAAATTGCATGGACAAATATACTCCAACTACAAATGAAATGCAGTACAGAGAAAACATGAGAAGCAAATTTAATTTAGTACCATCCTCTACTGGACCTAAGAAAGGACATTTTGTGCCTGTTGACTTGTCCCTTCCAACTGTAAATTTGGTCAATGAAAGATCTTGCCAAACACATCTACCTTCCAACTCTAAGTCCACCTCAGCCGCCTACAACCCGTGTGATCTTACTCCTAGCTATTACCCCCTTATCCCTCCTTACCAAGGCAAATGGCAAATACCCATCTCTAGCTGCCCTTTACCTCCTTTAAAAAAAAACCTGCTTCTTTCTACCCTCCCACACACAACCCATCCCAACTTCCTTCCTCTCACCTGCCAGCCTCTCCCTTAAACCGATGCAATAATACGTAGACTCAGGGTGCTGTCCTCAGAGAACCATAAACCACTAAACTCTGGTGATGCCTCTGTATTTTAAAGCAGGGGTTGGCAACCAACAGCCATTGATCCACCCCATGGATGCGGGGCTTCAACAGCTGGACTGATCCAGGTTGGGGCAGGAGCAGGTGTGTGCACAGAGGATGGGAGCTGGGACTCAGCCACTGCCACCACCACTTTTTCCAGCATCCGCTTCAGCAGCAGTTGCATTTGCACTGCCGCCACAGGGACAAGCCCTGGCTGTGGACACTCTCCCCAAGCAGCTTCTGGGAAAGGTAAAGGTGCAGCTGACTCGTAGCGCCCAATTGCAGTGCACCAGTGACCTGCTGACCCAAACTGGGTCAATTGCCCCGCAACCTGGAAATGCTGCCAACCTATTTTAGAGCATGTTACTTTTTTCAATTCACATTGAGACCTGTTACAGGGGACATTTGCAGAATCCCCAAGTATACAAACTGCCATGGAGAAAAATGGCTCTTAAGCACCCCCCAAGCGTACCCAGTCTTGGTCATGTGCATCTCACCTGGGAATGCCTATTCCCAGGCCTTCTGGAGATGGAGAGCTTGGTAGCAACAGTAAGATAGGACCCCAAGTGGCTTTACCACCTTATTCCTTGGTTTGTTGAGCAAGCAATAAAGAGGACAGGCCCCCTACATACAATTAGGGAAGCAGAGTAGAAACACCAATAGTAATCCAGGAACCTTAATTATCAAAAGAGAATTAGGCATTTAGGAGCAAGGTGCCTAAACCTCTTTTTGGATTTTGTCTTAAAGCTCATGAAAGGTCAATGGAAATTAGGGTTCTAGGTCACTTCTGACAATCGGAAGAACACTCTTAGGCCACCTTAGTGGATTTTGAAACATTATCCCAAGAGCTTTGTCCACGAAGCCCAGTACGCATCAGCGGCAGACAGGAACAGAATCAACGTTTCCCTATGGACCTGTCCACTGAATCACGAGTTTGACAAGCTGTCAGACCCCAACAACAAAATCTCTTTCCAGGCAGACCTGGAAATTAAACAATGTTTTAAAGAAACTAAAAGGCAAAAGCAAGTTTATTTAAATACTGTGGACTAAACCAGCAGTGCCAAGTTCCCAGGCTGTGGACTAAATGAGCAGGTCCACAATATCACTCTGCCTGTGCCTGATCCAGCCTGCCCCTCACACTGCCCTGATTTGGTCCCACCACTCCCAATCCTATACAGCAACCTAATCTGGTAGATGGGGCTACGTCATCTGTCCTGCAGGGCTTGGACATTCAGTGGCAGTGGAGCAGCAGCAGTGGTCATTGCCACCATCCCGATGCCAAATTTCTAGGCCTGTGGAGAGACCCGCAGGCTGGATGCCACTGCTCTGTGGGCTGGGTCTGGCCCATGGACTGGAGGCTGAGCACTGGCAAACTAAACTGTTATGCCCTACATCACTTACACCAGTGTTGACCCTGATCTGTTATTTTAGAGTTAAAACATCAGAGTCTTCGATTTCTTCTAAGCCTTCTAAAAAGTTCTACCTTTGATTTAAGTGTTTGTTTAAGCCAAGGTTAAAACAGTCCAGGTTCCACATTGAAGTGGATTGTAAAATACACAATAGTTTGTAAGGCTACGGATGCTTTCTTAATCTAAATGGCTCTAGAGTATTTTATCTAGTTACTTGTTTTCTTCCCAAAAAAGAAACCAGTGTTATCTGCAGATTGAAAGAGTTCAGTTGCATACACTTTACTAAGACAGTTCCTCACAAATGTTTTAAAACAACTGTTGCCAACTGGTTTTTATCACATACCCATGCAATAAAGCAAGAAAGAGTTCTGCATTTAATTGGATAAAAGACTAAGTTAATTTAAAGATTATGGGCATCTTTATTTAAAAATATCAGGAGTCTGATCCTCTTCAGCTTTGCTGTCCCTACAATTCTTTTAAAGTTTATACAAAGGGCTCTTAGTGCAACCACTACTTCCAAAATTTAGAAATTATAAATAAGTGCCTCAGAGGAAACAAAAAGAGGCACAGTGTGATTTTTCTGAACTGCATCAGAGAGAGATATTTGGAGGAGAAGAGTGAGGAAGTAAATACATATTTTTTGCTAAATTAAAGGGCTGTCTCTCTAAACAGGGACAAATGACAAGCTGAATAAATGGAAATATTTGTAATCTCTTTTAAATAATTTAACAAGGTGGTTTCTTGGTTAAGAGATGGGCCGGAGCAACACAGTTCAGTTCTAGCATCTCTCCCCCTTCTCTTCCTCAGCTTTTAGGGAGATGTTTGAACAGGGTTTTGGTTAAGGATTCAAGTTAATCATTGTTGGTTAATAACTAGTTTATATGACAGCATTAAAAAGTAATCATCAGTGACGTAACCTCTCCCATAAGAATGACAATAGCCACACCAATTTTATTTCAGTTTTGTGCCAGTTATTGAGGCAGAACCCTCCCCGATTACATAAATAAGGAATTCAAATAATAATGATAATGGTGATGACGAAATCAATGGCAAGATACATTTCATGCGTTTGTTCTCGCAAAAGTGCAGATATCTGCTGAGGGAATTTGGCACTGCATTGCTATACAAAGCTTTTGAGGACTCAAGCATACACTTAAGGATTTTTTAAAAGATGCTAAATTATATGTATTGTCATGAGATACCCATCTAGGGTTCCATATGCTGCTCATGACCACAGTAGCCGATCGCTTGTTAAAAAACTCATGCATGCAATTGTTTCCACGCTAGTTTTTTTTGACAAAAGTTGTTTGGTTTGCATGCATAGGAGCACTAGAGTAGAAGTGGACTTAATGTTGTTGTTGGCATTGTAAGAACTGCGCTGGCAAAACCTGCTCACAACTATTCCATAACTGAATTAAAATCAGTCTGGAGATTCCAAACACGTTCCCAAACACTGAGTACAAGTTTTGTAGTTACGCATGCAAATTCAAACTACTTAGGGCTGAACTAAACCCTACGCTTTAAATTAAAGCTAAGAGCTAAACTAAGTTCACTTGCCTTTCAGTCAGTCCTTCGGAAACCTTAAACAATGGTGGATGGAAATGCCTGTTCATTCCTTACAGAAACATTCACCTTGAGGTTGAGCTTGGATTCATTTTCAAGGTTTGCTTCTTTATGGTATTTAAGTCACAGTCTCTGCACCACAAATCCCCATCTATAAAAGTGAGATGGCAACACTGCCTATGACAAAGGCTGTTTTAAGGATGTGTACATTATGCCAGAGACATTCAGGTATTGTGATAATGGGATTTATTAAATATCTACACAAAGTAGATGATATGGATTTACCTCTTTCCCCCAAAATCACTCGGAGGCTGACAGAACGCTCCTTTCAACATGGCTTTGTTACAAGCAGGTCATGCCAGACCAACTTCATCTTCTGCGATCAGGTAACTCGCCACACTGGATAGGGGAAATGAGGTTGGTGTTGTACGCCTAGATTTCAAAAAAGGCCTTCGACCTGGTTTCCCATGATGTCCTCACGGTTAAATTGGAAAAAAGCAGCCTCAACTACTTGACAGTCTGGTGGCTAGGAAACTGGCTCCATGGTAGGACCCAGAGTACTGAAAGACAGGACTGAATCATCATGAAGGGAGGTGATCAGTGGCATCCCTCAGGGCTCAGTAGTTGGACCAGCGCTATTCAATATGTTCATCAACAATTTGGATACGTATTAAATGCGAACTGGCAAAGTTCACCAAGAAGACCAAACTATGAGAGTGTGGTCATGCTCCAGGACTGACAGGCTGGTGCTACAGGCTGATCTGGACAGGCTTGTGAGGTGGGCAGACCTCAACCTGATGTCGTTCAACACTGAGAAATGCAAAGTGCTTCATCTGGGGAGAAATAACCCACACACTTACAGGCTCGACAGTGCTACACTAGCCAGTACCACAACTGAACGACACCTGGGTGTCGTGCTAGACAACAAAATGAACATAAGCCACCAGTGCAATCCCATAGCCAACAGAGCTAATCAAACACTGGCAGGCATCTACCAAGGCATCTCAAGCAAGGCTAAAGATGTCATCCCCCTGCTCTACTCAGCCTTGGTGAGACCACAGCTGGAGTACTGTGTCCAGTTTTAGGCGTCACACTTCAGGAAGGATGTGGAGAAGCTCAAGAGTGTCCACAGGAGGGCCACATGCATGATTAGAGGCCTAGAGACCAGGTCACATGAAGGCTGAGAGACCTGGGACTGTTCAGCTTGGAGAAGAGAAAACTCAGGAGGGAACTTGGTGGCAGCTATAAGTATATCAGGGGAGTTCACCAGGGCCTGAGGGAGCATCTATTCACCAAGGCCCCCCAGGGGAGGACTAGAAATAATGGCCACAAGCTGATTGAAGACCGCTTCAGACTAGACATAAGAAAAAAACTTCTTTACAAGTCAAGTATTGAGGGTTTGG